CATGTTTCAAACGATCTAAACGCAACACGCTTCCGCCAATCCCCGCCTTGACACAATGATTACCGTAGGGTGGGCGTGGTCAGCTCGGAATGCATTTTCAAAGCCGCATTGAATTTTGCTAATTTAATTTTCAATTTCATTCTGCACCAAATTTTGCACGCGTGGAGGTGATGGAAAATGTAAATTTAAATACAGAATTACATTGCCATTTTGAATATTGCGTTGCCATTTTGAATATTGCATTGTCATTTTGCATATTGTATTGCCATTTTGCATATTGCATTGCAAATTGAATTTTGCTACACATATGCTTCCATACAGTCCAAAGTGGTGACCAAAGTCCTTTTCCAGGTGAGGATGGTGCAAACAATGGTAGGACTTGAAGCCAGAAAAAGAAACTTGGCGGATGCAAGTAAATCAGGAAAAAGAAAGTCCTTTCTGAAAATACACAAATCATACATCCCGCTTTGTACTAAACCCAACAAATATACATGTATATCATTCAAATAATTGTTACTAAATTAAACAAACACTACATCCATATCATTCAGAAAAACATCTTACATTGAGCCATGAATGCTTCCCATTCCTCAAATAAGGACTTAGTAACATCACTTCTTTCCTTCCTTTATTCTGAGCCTCGACAAACATGGCTGCCCTTGCCCTATAGGGTCTTGCTCCATATATTCCTCTAGGTAATTATACTGACCCCTAGAGGACAGGAGTATAATTACAAGCATGTTAACTATCTGGTATCAAACCAGTGTTTGTTAAAAAATATTTAGCAATATCAGCTAGCCCTACCTGGGGATGTTTTTCAAGCTTTATTTAAGCAGAGGTTAATGTTTTGTTTGTCTTCCCACCCAGGTACCGAGTGGAGAACAGCCCGCCCCTCCATACGGAGTTTGCACGCAACTTTGAGCTCCTCCCCCCTCAGTATAACAGTGTCACCAAGAAAGACTACCGCCGCCTACTGGACATCTACGGGACTCACTTCATCAGGAAGGTGCAGCTGGGCGGCCGCATGAGCAGCACCACCGCATTCCGGTTCTGCCAGGCGGCGCTAAACGGCTACACTGAGACTGAGGTGAAAGACTGCCTGGAGGTGGAGGCCTCCCTGTCCATAAAGTCTGATTCTGTTAAAGCTAAGGCTGACTTCTGCGAGCGTGACAAGAAAAAACACAATAACAAGAACAGCTTCCACAGCCAGTTCACAGAAAGGATCACTGAAGTAAAGGGAGGTCAGCACATGGTTTCTGACCTGCTGTTTTCAGACAAGCCTGAAGCCATGCAGAAGTGGCTGGACAGCCTGAAGACCACACCAGGAATCATCACCTACTCTCTCCACCCCCTGCATTATCTGGTGCAGAAGCCAGAGGCCAAAAAGGCGGCGCTGAAGAAGGCGGTGGAGGACTACATCCTGGAGAAGGCCCTATACAAGCACTGCTCCAAGAAATGCTCAGGAGGTTCGACACCCAGCAAACATGACCCCTGCCGCTGTGTCTGTGTGGCCAGCAAAGAAACTGACTGCAACTGCTGTCCAACTATGCCGGGCCTGGCCCAAGTGACGGTTACGGTGAAGTGGGCCCGGGGCTTGTGGGGAGACTACAATGGTGAGACCGACAGCTTTGTCTACATTGCTCTGGCCAGCAAAAATACCCAGACCAGGGTGATCCACAACAACAATAACCCGATCTGGAACAGCAAGTTCTCATTTGGTACCATTCAGCTCTCGTCTGACACAAAGATGAGGCTGGAAGTGTGGGACGAAGACAAGATATGGTACAAACAGTGGAACGACAAGCTGGGAGAGTGCACAATCAATCCTGTTAGTGGCTTCCATGATGAAATCTGTCCGCTGAACCATGGCAACCTCTACTACTCCTATAAGGTGGAGTGTGCTCCTGGGCTCACGGGAAAGTATTGCAGAGACTACGCCCCTGCTCCTATGAACCCCAGACTGGCCGACCTTTACACCTCCCGGAATGCCTTCAACGTCACGCCCATTCTCTTGGAGCACCTCAGAAGGGGGCAGTCCATCGAGGATCCCCTGCCGTTTCTGTTATCCCACAGGAGTGATAATTAGATGCTGGGCTCCTCAGGTGGCGATACTCCTCATGCTCCTGCTGAGCCGTAAGGGAGGAAGAGATGAACGCCACAATGAAGATGTAGTAGCTGCTTTAGCTCTCCCCTTTCTGCCGCTGTCCATGCAGCCAATCCACTTAGCTTATCCAGGTTGTATTCCTGAGAAGCATGCATTTCTATTGCAATAAAATCAACTGCAACTTTTCTAACTAATAACTGTGTTGCCTTTTTAATTACCATCATCCTCCTCTCTAAATGGAGAATAGCTTTATTCTTCATTCTTGATTGAGTAGCACAGGCTTGTGGGAGTATTACGCAAAAATGTTTTGAGGGCAGAACAAGAAATGATTGGTTCACAGAGATATCCAATCAGATCTTGGTCAGATGTCAGACCAACCAATCAGATATCTTGTTCCAACCTCCTCTAGTTCCTGGACCTCCTTCTTCTACTATCTAATTGGTTATCCCTCTGAACCAATAATTTTTCGTTCTACTCCCAAAAAAAAAATTGCTTTTTGTGCAATAAAACCCCCATTCATGTGGCACAGCCCCCAACATGCCATTTATGCCACACCATCTTGTACCACCATGGATTGCTGATAAAAATGTAAATTCTTAAGATTTGGTTACTTACTCAGAGGCAGGGGCGCCGTAAGGGGGAGGAAAGCTAGGACGATTTCCTAAAAAATTAGGAAAATAACTGGATTGGTTTGAACTGGGGGGCCTAATATGATATGCTTTCATGGGGCCCAAAATCTCTAGCAACGCCCCTGCTCAGAGGTGTAGGTAAACTTGGGTAAAAGATAAAACTTTTTTGAAAATACATAAAACCCCTTTAGCCTGCACCCACTATTTGAAAAAAGCACCAGTGATCGGACCCTCCCAAAATAAAATGCTTAAAACACCCAAACAACTTGCACAAACATGCCCACAAATGGTCTAGTTTAAATCCTGGCAGTCACAAGATGCTAAACAAGCACAAACCAACTTCCAAAAGTTTTACTTACATGGATATACAAACTGAAATTGTAAAGAAACTCTATTTGTTTTTTCCTGTTTCCAGGAGCCACATGTTACTGGGTGGCGGTGAGATCCATCAAAAGACAGTTTCGAGGTGGTTGGTTGGAAATCCTTGACATTAAGCAAAAACTGACTGTATAGGCTTATATGTGGGATCATTTTGTTCAGTAGGCCAAGGGCTACATATTGAACCTATTGTGTATAAGCAAGGTATGTGCTGAAATCCATGGGTGAAAACCGGTGACGTCATGGACGCTATTCAACGTGAGATATTAGTACACAAGTCTAATACAATGTAGAATCACATTTGTATTTACGAGAATTTCACTCAGAGAGAAAGCACTACGTAAACTACAACTCAATATGGTTTTAGCAAGAAACACTACTAATACAAACACAGCTATCCCAGTGAACGATGGTGATGTCTAATTTGTAACAAATTCTTTTGAACTGGTTCTTTTCAGTGAAATGGTCAAAATGGTTTTCAAAAGAGAATTTTTGTACATCCATGAATTGCACAGGTTGAAGTATCAGGTTCTGAAAATCAAAAAGTAGGTGATAAATGATCATATTAAAAACACACAGCAACCTTTTATAATTCACTTACATTTGCTTTTCGTAGACTGTCTGTAGCCATGTTGCATTCGGTGCCCCTCTGCATACCGTAATTTATACGTTGTATTTGCACTCTGTGCATGCTCAGCTGCATGGTGGCTGTAGCTCGCTACTCACAACTGTCGGAGATTCAATAGTTAGTGAGTATGGTATGTGTTATGGCAAGTGGACAGAACAGGAGCGGACCCCAATATGCGGTAGAACCAGCCTTTATTGTTATATCCGAGAACACCAAAGCCAGAGGGGATGATCCAAGAGAATAGCCGGGGAGATCGCCAGGGTCCAGTATCCGAGAAGGTCAGTCCTACGGGTAGTGACGAGACGGGGCGACGACAAGCCGGGTGGATCCAGAAGGGAAGGTTGGGAGATTGGGACAAGGCAGGCGGGCAGGGCAGGCAGGCGAGGCGAGGGAGACAGGGCTGGTCGAGATGGACAGGACGGGCGAGACAAGCAGGGCAGGCAAGACAAACGGGGAAGACACAAGACAAAGTAACGCTCAGTATGGCTCCAATACATGGCAACAATACTTCGCAATACTGCTATGTCTTGTCCACTTTAAATAGTGAAGCGACAGATAATTACGTGGCTATGTCTACTTGCTCTCACCCTCTGGGTGTGACAGTGCCCCCCCCCCCCCGACAGCAGCCTCCAGGAGGTCGAGGTGAACGACGGGGCCGACCCTGGGGTCGCAATGCAGGTCAGGAGGGATGTGTGTCGTGGTAAGCTGCGATCAGATCAGGATCCAGGACGTCCCTCGCCGGCACCTAGGACCGCTCCTAGGGGCCAAACCCCTCCCAATCTACAAGGTATTGGAGGATCCCGGCCCGGTGGCAAGAGTCGAGAAGTGCTCTGATCTGGTACACTCGGAACCCATCTTGCAGGGTACGCGGCGGCGGAACTGCCACATCAGTTGGGGGGTGCACTGAGCTATATCGCACGGGTTTGAGCAGCGAGGCATGAAATGTAGGGCAAATATCATAGATACTCGGGAGCAGGAGGCGGAAGGTGTCGGGACCCACTTGCCGTGTGATCTTGAAGGGTCCTATAAAACGGGCAGACAGCTTACGGCAGGACAGAAGTTTCAGGTTGCGTGTCGACAGCCACACACGTTGTCCAACTCGATAATGGGGAGCGGCTTGTCGACGCCTATCCACTTGAGCTTTCCGCCGAGAGGCCTGACTGGAGAGGGCAAGTTGGGTCCTATGCCAGACCTCCTTGGCCCTCTGATACCAGTCTTCCATCAGGGGGATGTCACTGGTAGCTGAATCCCATGGAACGGGCGGGGGCTGGTATCCTAAAACACACTGGAAAGGGGATAGACACGTGACGGGACTTACCCGAGCATTTAGAACGTACTCGGCCCAAGCCTGATGAGTAGCCCATTCTGCTGGTTTGTCTTTGCAGAGCAACCTCAAGGCTTGAGATACCTCTTGGTTGGTTCGCTTTGCAAGGCCGTTAGAGTGGGGGTGCTATGCCGAAGTGAGGCTGAGTGGCACATTAAGCTTGGCACAGAAAGCTCTGAACACCTGCAAAGTAAACTGGGGGCCTCAATTGGACACCACATCTTCTGGGATCCCATAGTACCGGAATACGCAGGTTATAAGGATGTCAGTCAACTCCGCGGCTCCTGGGAGCTTGGCAAGTGGAATAAGACGACACATTTTTGAAAATTGATCGACCACAGTGAGGAGAACAGTGTTTCCCCGGGATAGTGGAAGATCAGTGATGAAGTCTAACACCACATGGGACCAGGGACGAGAAGGAATTGGCAATTGGTGTAGCAGTCCAGCGGGAGGTTAGTGAGAAGATTTTAATTGAGAGCACCCCGGGCAGGAGGCGACAAACCTATCTACCTTGGCCCTCCAACCTGGCCACCAAAATTTCCTCGCTATTAACCGCTGGGTTGCGGAGCTTCCAGGGTGTCCCGTGCTACGAGAGGTATGCACCCAGCGGATAACATTGGAGCGGTGAAGGTTGGGGACATACGACTTACCCGGTGGGCACCCAGCTGGTAGAGGATTACGCTCGTTGGCGGCTCTGAGAACTTCTTCCAGGGACCAAGTGATGGAGGCGGCATAGCATGTCGGCGCCAGTACGGGCTCAGATCTATCAATGACTTCGGGTGGGTTGAACTGTCTGGACAGGGCATCGGCTTTGACATTTTTCTTCCCCGCGAGGTAAGTAACTTTGAAATGAAAGCGAGCAAAGAACATTGCCCAGCGGGCTTGTCGAGGATTAAGCCGTTTTGCATTTTGCAGATATTCTAAATTTCTATGGTCCATGAAAACTTGGAACGGTAGGTCAGCCCCCTCTAGCTAATGCCTCCACTCTTCTAAAGCGAGCATAATGGCCAGGAGTTCCCTGTCCCCTACGTCATAGTTACGCTCCGTGGCGGTCAGCTTCTTGGAGAAGTATGCGCATGGGTGGCGGCGATCGGTTACCTGGTCCCTCTGGACTAGGACAGCTCCCACACCTGCTTCTGAGGCGTCGACCTCCACCTCGAAGGGATGTTCCGGGCATGGTTGTTGGAGGATGGGCGCGGTGCAGAAGGCTTGCTTGAGTCTGCGGAACGCTGCGTCGGCCTCCGGGGTCCACGTTAGGTGCGGTCTCGATTCTCGTGTGAGGGAAGTAAGGGGTGCAGCCACCTGACTAAAGTTTCGGACAAAGTGCCGATAAAAATGAGCAAACCACAAGAATCGCTGCAGTTCCTTGGTAGTACGGGGTTGTGGCCACTGCTGAATGGCAGCCACTTTCCCCTCATCCATGGCCACCTCACCAGACCGGATGACATATCCGAGGAACCGCACTTGGGTTTGGTGAAACTCACACTTTTCCCCTTTTGCAAAAAGCTTATACTCACATAACCTTTGAAGCACACATCGAACATGATCTATATGAGCAGAACGGGAAGGAGAGTATATCAAAATATCGTCAATATACACAATGATGAAATGATATATCATGTCTCAGAACACATTATACATAAAAGCTTGGAAAATCGAGGGACTATTTTCTAGCCCATACGGCATCACCCGGTACTCATATTGCCCAGTGTTTGTGATGAAGGAGGTCTTCCACTCATCCCCACTTCGTGTCCGAACTAAATTGTAGGCGCTGCGCAGATCTAATTTGGTAAAAAGGTTAGCTTCCCTAAGTTGCTCCAGCGCGGAAGGGATTAATGGCAAAGGCTCCCGGCATTTCACCGTGATGGTATTCAGGGCAAGATAGTCAATGCATGGGTGGAGTCCTCCGTCCTTCTTCTTGATGAAGAAAAAACCCGCTGATACGGGAGATGTAGAAGGGCGGATAATACTTTGCACCAATCAATCCTGGATGTTGGCCTCCATGGCTTCCTCCTCCTTTACTGACAGGGTGTAGAGGCGACCCTTAGGGAGTGGCGCCCCCTCCAGGAGGTCGATTGCGCAATCGTATTCTCGGTGAGGGAGAAGCTGAAAGGATAACTCCTTGCTAAATACAGCCCGGAAATCTGTGTATTCAGCCGGAATCACAGACAGATCTTCCGGGTCTGGACTTTCTATTAAAGAGGCACAGCAAGGCAATGCCAAACACTGGTGAAAACATCAGGGTGACCACCAGAGGACCAATCGATTTTCGGGTTGTGAGCCTGTAACCACGGGTGTCCTAAAATCACCGAATCCTTAGACGTAGGGAGCACCAGAAAATCCAGGGTTTCTGTATGAAGGGCCCCTACCCGTAACGTAATCGGCCCCCGTGCGATAGGTTACTTGGCCGCCGGGTAGGGGTTCCCCACTCACCCCCAAGACCGCAATAGGCTGAGAGAGCGTTTGCAACTGAATCTGTAATTTACGAGCTAAAACGAGATCTATGAAATTACTAGCCGCTCTGGAGTCTACTAATGCCCTAGTGGACTGCACCTCCCCCGTACTGATTATGGTTACCGGCACGGTTAACTGCACGAGTGACACGCCTAAAAGAACAGAAATTCCTATCTTTGCGTGGAACAAGTCGGGCAGGAACGGATGGCGTGTCCAGGTGCTCCACAATAAAAACACAATCCT